CTCTGCCCTTTAAGCTACAGACTCCCCAGTGGGGAAAAGACCTTGGCTATTCACCTCATCTATACTCCTCATTATTCCAAAAGGGCAGCAGGCAGGATGCACTTGTCATCGATAACTGGTCACCATTTCACAGACCAATCAACGACTTGTTGCCAGCCAAATGCCATTCATACACTGCCCTTGGCTCCAGCTCATCTGTAACTAGACTTTCCCCAATGCTCGAAGCAGCAGCTGTATAAACAGCCCTTGACACACATCAGGTAACTTACTTCAAAAAATCTGCAGAAATTCTCCAACAATCCTTTGCTTTTAAACAGTTATTTATCCATTCAGTCCAAAATCAAAGATATGAAAACATAAAAAGATACAATCTTGACAAAAAAAAAGTTCAAATCATCCATGGATAACAGTGTGGAGCTGGAGGAACACAACAGGCCAGCAAAAAATTCTGAAGAAGGGTCCTGACCCGAAACGTCAACTTTCCTGCTCCTCTGATGCTGCCTGGTCTGCTGTGTTCCTCCAGCTCCACACTGTTATCTCTGATTCCAGCATCTGCATTTCTTACTATCTCAAATCATCCGTGGGTCATAATAAATGACACAGCAAGCCTAGAGTGCCAAATAGCCTACTACATTCATAAACAGCTGAAGACCCAGCAGTGACCTTTACAGTACTCCACTATCTTCTGCCTATAACTTAAAAAGACCCCATTTATGCTCACTCTATCCAACCTGTCCTTTAGCCAATCCTCTGTCAATTTTAATATCTTGTTTTCAACTCCATCAGCCCTTAACATGCTGATTAGCCTATTTTGTGAATGTCTTTATCCACTTGTTCCACTGTATCTATCTTACCATTTACATCAAAAACATATAATTCACCTTGATTAGTGATCAGCTCATAAGCTGAAATATCAATGGGGATTCAGACAGATTATATGCTGCTTGATATACACATTTCATGCAGTCAGATAAAGAGGCAATGATGCTGCTGGCTGTCTTACCATCCCCTCTGATTCCATATCCCAGGAAAGGTGGAATAGTGATTGTCCTCTTCTCCCCCATGCACATACCCAGCAGCCCCTCATCCATGCCTGGAATCAACCATCCAATTCCAACGTAGGTGTCATAGGTTTGCTGCCGAGTGTGGCTGGAAGGTCAAGACAGATAGTAGAGGATAACAGGAGACAAAACTATGCAGTCAACAGCTTCAGCAAGTCAACACCAAAATGATTAATAATCAAATAACAACATGTAATGAGCATATGCAAAGAAATTAAGTTTCAATACCTGGAGTCAAAAAACGTACCATCCAGAAGAGTGCCATTATAATGATAACGGACAAAATCAGACACTTGTACTATACGACTGCAATTCTCAGGTTTATAGTGAACTTCAATTTTCACTTTATCTTCAGGGTTCCAGATATCGAGCATCAACACATCGAAGAACAAGGTGGCATCAGGTGGGATTTTATCAGCTGTGCATTAAAAATTACAGAAGTCATGTAGATTAGTGCATTCATTGCTGGATATTGTACCTCAGAATGGATACTTTACCCTCAAGCTAGTACAATGCAGATTCACCAGAATGGTACCAGGGTATAAACAGCTATATTACAAGAACATTGTGCTTGTATTCCCTTGAGTATAGGTTTTTAAAGTGTTAGAAACATTTCATTTGAAAAGCTCTCTCTTCTGGTGATTAAGTCCAGACAAAGGAGTAAAAAGTTAAAATTACAGCCAAGGACAAAATCAAGAGGGAGGTGAAAATCTGGATCTTGCAGAGCCATACAGTCATACAGTACAGAAACAGACCCTTCAGTCCAACTCATCCATGCTGACCAGGTATCCTAAACTGAACTAGACCCATTTGCCTGTGTATGGCCCGTATTCCTCTAAACCTTTCCTATTCATGTACTTGTTGAAATGCCTGTGAAATGTTGTAATTGTACCCGTGTCTACTTCTTTCTGGCAACTCCTTCCATGCACCACCCTGTGTGTGAAAAGGTTGTCCCTCAGGTCCTTTACAAATCTTTCCCCTCTAAACCTTAAGCCTACGTCATCTAGTTTTGGACTTTCCTACCCTTGGTTTTACACCTTATTTATGCCCCACATGACTTTTAAACCTCTATAAAGGTCACAGACTTATGTTCAAGGGAAAATAAGTCCTAGCCTATTCAGCCTCTCCTTAAGGTAGACCAGCCTCCCAAGGAAGCTGTATTTATTGAAAATCCAAAACAAAGTTGAAATCAAAATTGTAATTAAAGACAAAGATGGCATTAACTAGAATCTTACTTACACATCCCTTCATCGCCATAGGCCAGGTGAGGTGGCACTTTTATGAAGCGTCTTTCATTCACACACATCCCAATCAGAGCTTTATCCATGCCAGCAATCAGTCGTCCTTTACCCACAAACACATCGTAAGTGGAACCACGATCATAACTGAAAGAGGGAGACAGGATCATTGAGACACTGCAAACTCTCACATCATGAATAATAGACTTCAAATATTACATAACCCCAAACACAACTCAGAATTGAAACATCATTCTAAGGATTCATTGAGACTAAAAAGCAATGATCTTTCCTACATTATATAAATACATGGATTTAAAAACCATAAACATTTTAAAATTCATTCTCAGAGTGCAGGTGTCACAGACTGGCCCAGAATTTATTGCCACCTGTCCCACAAAGGTGCTGTTCAGCCATCATCTTGAACTACTGGGCCAGTTATTGCAATGAAGGTGCACCCATTATGCTACTAAGGGGAGAGTCCCAGGACTTTGACCCAGAGACTGAAGAAATGGCAATGTAGATCAAAGTCAGGATCGTCTCTTGATTGCATGAGAACTTGCAGGTGGTGGTGTTGTTCTTATGTATCTCCTACCCTTCTAGGTGACGGGATCACAGGTCTGAAAGATGCTACTATAGAAGCAAGTTGTTGTAATGGACCTTGTAATTAGCACACACTGCTGCTGCTGGCGGCAGAGTGAGTGAATGCTTGAGGTAGTGATAGGGTACCACTCAAGCAGGTTGCTTTGTCCTGGATGGTGTTGAACTTCTTGAGTTTTACTAAAGCTGCATGTATCTAGGTAAGCTGGGTGGTGGGTCTATGCCATCACATACCTGATTGGAGATAGTGGACAGGCTTTTAGAGGGTCAGAAGATGAGTTACAGAATGCAGGGTTCACATCTCTTAAATTGCTGTTGCGGCCACAGTAACTATAGGGCTACTCCACTTCAGTTTCTGTTCAATGGTGACTTTTTGGATGCTGATAGTGAGGGATTCAGTGATGATATTGCCACTAAAATTTAAACGAAGATGAATCGATGCTCTCTTTTCAGAGATAATCATTACCTGTACATTTGCAAATGTTACATCCCAGTTATCAGACCTACCCTAAGTTTTTAAGGTCCTGCTACATAAGGACACTGCTTCAGTATCTGAGGACTTGTGAATGGTACTGGTCTTCACACAATTGCCAATGCTCATCCTCACTTCTGACCTTATGTTAGAAAGCGGGTAATTGATAAATCAACTAAATATGGTTGGGTCCAGGACACCATCCAAAGAAACAAGTCCCACCTGCTCCAGAGATGTATCATAACATGTCTGAACAGGTTGATTAAAAATATCTACCCGAAAGGTATAAGACGGTTTTTCCATCTGATCTTCAAGTATTCCAAGTTTTGCTGGGCTTCTGAACCCACACTTGTTCAAGTGTAGTTTTCTCACGTCAGCTCGAGTTCAGCTGTAAGGTGGCCCTGACGGAACCCAAACTGAGGATCGGTGAGCAGGTTAATTACTGACAGTGCCACCTGACACTACTATGGACAACACCGTCCATCATTTTACTGATGACTAACGGTACAATAACGGGGTTCCAATTGACCCCGTTGGCTTTGCCCCGACTCTGGATGATATATACTATAAAGAGAAGATAAAGATGAATCAATTTAAATGCCATTAAGCAGACATTAACGAAACCCCTCCAATTCAGTCTGAAAAGGGATTTGCCTTCTACCCGCTAATGCGTGGAAGTTGATATGTGGCTCCTCCGACTTCAGTCGCTGCAAATCAAATACATTTTAACAAACCACATCGGATCTCCGGACTGACTCCGGGCACTCCAATCTGTATTGACTAGGCATTGCCCAAATCCAGATTCATGAGTTCCCGGACCTTCTCCGATTCAGTACCTGGAGTCGAACTGGCCTCCCCCGGGGAAAGTCCCGAGGTAATGATATCGGACGAAATCTCCGGGCTCAGCCGCCCGGACGCACTCCTTCGGTCGGAACTTGCTCTCCACCGCCACATCATCCAGTGGCACTGAAGGTGGTGGGCTCCCCTGCGCCCGAACCAGCAGCAGAGCGGGGACAATCAGCCACCGAAACGCAAGGATCATCGCGCCCAGTTCGGTCAGACCCAGCACGCCCTCAACAATCCCCGAAAACTGACTGCAGCTGCCAAGTGGAGACGTGGGATAGGGGTGGGGACGGGAAAGAGAGGAAGGGTCCGCCGTCTATCCTGGGGGGCGGGCCTAGCTCTGCGTGGGGAAGGGACGTGAGGCCGGCCCTGGTTTAATGGGAATGGGGTGGGACGCAAGGCCGGTCCTGGTTTGAAGGGGATGGAGCTGGACTGAGGCTGGCCCTGGCTGGCAGGGGCTGAGGACAAGCAGCAAGGGGAACGGGGTCAGCCAGACCGAAGGAGGGCCCAACTTTTAAGGAGTCAAGCTACTACACAGCTGCCCCAAACCGCGACTAGGGGCGGGATTAGTATTGGGGGGGTGGGGCTTTTCACGGGAGACTGTTGTTACGGGGAGTGGTGGGGCTCGAGCCTGAGGCGTTACAATTTGAAAGCGAGGGGGTGGGGCCCGAACCGAGCCGGGGGCGGGGCCGGCTTTAGGGGCGATGCCGTGTGTGTGCGCGCGTGTGTCGTGGCGGAGGTGGGGCCTACCGGATAGCGGCCTTTCGATTGGATACCATAAGTCCAATGGTAAGCGGGTCGTTTCAGAACCTCTGCTATGATTGGCTAATCACGGTGTCAATCATCCACGAGGCTTTTGGGATAGGTCAGGGAGAAGGGGCAAGTGGTGTTAATGTGGTGGAGAGCGATGAGGCGACACGCTGTAGTTTCCTTGCTGTTGATGTGTTGTTGTGCTGGCCACGCTCAGTATGAGAAGTATAGTTTCCGGAGCTTTCCTCGGGACGAGTTGATGCCGTTGGATTCAGCGTATCGCCATGCGCTGGACCAGTATTCGGCGGAGAACTGGCAGGAGAGTGTGGATTACCTAGAGATGAGCCTCCGCCTGCACCGTCTGCTCCGCGACAGTGAGGCTTTCTGTAACCTTAACTGTAGCTTAGTATTACCAGACCAAACCACTCGTTTCAGTGGCTTTCCCGAGCTCCAGCTCTTCGGCAGCATCATGAAGAGAGCACAGTGTCTCCGCAGGTGTAAACAGGGCTTGCCTGCTTTCCGCCAATCTCAGCCCAGTAGAGAAACTCTGGACGACTTCGAGAAGCGGGAGGTCTACAAATATCTGCAGTTTGCTTATTTTAAGGTGAGAACACAACTTGAAGCACTTTATAAAATAAGGCTAACTTGACACTCAGTAATGAACATACTTCCCTTGTGTTTCTGATCTACAGAGATATGGAAGATAATTCGAATTCAGGCCAGGATAAGATCAGAGATAGTAGGAACTGCAGATGCTGGAGAATCCGAGACAACAAGGTGCAGGGCTGGATGAACACAGCAGGCCAAGCAGCATCATAGGAGCAGAGAGGCTGATGTTTCGGGCCTAGACCCTTCATCAGAAAGGGGGAGGGGAAGGGGGTTTTGAAATAAATAGGGAGAGAGTGGGAGGCGGATAGAAGAGGGATAGAGGAGAGGATAGGTGGAGAGGAAACAAACAGGTCGAAGAGGCGGGGATGGGGCCAGGAAAGGTGAGTGTAGGTAGGGAGTTAGGAAGGGGATAGGTCAGTCCAGGGAGGACGGACAGGTCAAGGGGGCGGGATGAGGTTGGTCGGTAGGAGATGGAGGTGCGGCTTGAGGTGGGAGGAGGGGATAGGTGGGAGGAAGAACAGGTTAGGGAGGCAGGGACGAGCTGGACTGGTTTTGGGATGCGGTGGGGGGAGGAGAGATTTTGAAACTTGTGAAATCCACATTGATACCATTGGGCTGCAGGGTTCCCAAGCGGAATATGAGTTGCTGTTCCTGCAACCTTCGGGTGGCATCGTTGTGGCACTGCAGGAGGCCCAGGATGGACATGTCGTCTGAGGAATGGGAGGGGGAGTTGAAATGGTTCGCGACTGGGAGGTGCAGTTGTTTGTTGCGAACCGAGCGTAAGTGTTCTGCAAAGCGGTCCCCGAGTCTCCGCTTGGTTTCCCCGATGTAGAGGAAGCCACACCGGGTACAGCGGATGCAGTATACCACATTGGCAGATGTGCAGGTGAACATCTGCTTGATGTGGAAAGTCTTCTTGGGGCCTGGGATGGGGGTGAGGGAGGAGGTATGGGGGCAGGTGTAGCACTTCCTGCGGTTGCAGGGAAAAGTGCCGGGTGTGGTGGAGCTGGAGGGGAGTGTGGAGCGGACAAGGGAGTCACGGAGAGAGTTGTCCCTCCGGAAAGCAGATAAGGGTGGGGAGGGAAAGATGTCTTTGGTGGTGGGGTCGGATTGCAGATGGCGGAAGTGTCGGAGGATGATGCGTTGGATCCGGAGGTTGGTGGGGTGGTACGTGAGGACGAGGGGGATTCTTTTTTGGTTCTTATTGCGTGGACGGGGTGTGAGGGATGAGGTGCGGGAGATGTGGGAGACACGGTTGAGGGCGTTCTCGACCACCGAGGAGGGGAAGTTACGGTCCTTGAAAAACGAGGACAACTGAGATGTACGGGAGTGGAATGCCTCATCCTGGGAGCAGATGCGGCGGAGGCGAAGGAATTGGGAATAGGGGATAGCATTTTTGCAGGAAGGTGGGTGGGAGGAGGAGTATTCTAGGTAGCTGTGGGAGTCGGTGGGCTTGAAATGAATATCGGTTTCTAGGTGGTTGCCCGATATGGAGACAGAGAGGTCCAGGAAGGGGAGAGAGGTGTTAGAGATGGTCCAGGTAAACTTAAGGTTGGGGTGGAAGGTGTTAGTGAAGTGTATGAACTGTTCGAGCTCCTCGTGGGAGCACGAGGCGGCGCCGATACAGTCATCAATGTAACGGAGGAAGAGGTGGGGTTTAGGGCCGGTGTAGGTACGGAAGAGGGATTGTTCCACGTAACCTACAAAGAGGCAGGCGTAGCTTGGGCCCATGCGGGTACCCATGGCTACCCCCTTTGTCTGTAGGAAGTGGGAGGAATTGAAAGAGAAGTTGTTGAGTGTGAGGACGAGTTCGGCTAAGCGGATGAGGGTGTCAGTGGAGGGGGACTGGTCGGGCCTGCGGGACAGGAAGAAGCGGAGGGCCTTAAGGCCATCTGCATGGGGAATGCAGGTGTAGAGGGACTGGACGTCCATGGTAAAGATGAGGTGTTGGGGACCGGGGAATTGGAAGTTCTGGAGGAGGTGGAGGGCGTGGGTGGTGTCACGGACATAGGTAGGGAGTTCCTGGACCAAGGGGGAGAAAATGGAGTCGAGATAGTTGGAGATCAGTTCGGTGGGGCAGGAGCAGGCGGAGACAATGGGTCGACCAGGGCATTCAGGTTTGTGGATTTTGGGAAGGAGATAGAAGCGGGCAGTGCGAGGTTGGGGAACGATGAGGTTGGAGGCCGTGGGTGGGAGGTCACCTGAGGTGATGAGGTTGTGGATGGTTTGCAAGATGATGGTTTGGTGCTCAGGGGTGGGGTCTTGATCAAGGGGGCGGTAGGAGGAGGTGTCGGAGATTTGGCGTCCGGCCTCGGCGATGTAGAGGTCAGTGCGCCATACTACAACTGCACCTCCCTTGTCCGCGGGTTTTATGATGAGGTTGGGATTGGAGCGGAGGGCTGCCTCAAGCCGCACCTCCATCTCCTACCGACCAACCTCATCCCGCCCCCTTGACCTGTCCGTCCTCCCTGGACTGACCTATCCCCTTCCTAACTCCCTACCTACACTCACCTTTCCTGGCCCCATCCCCGCCTCTTCGACCTGTTTGTTTCCTCTCCACCTATCCTCTCCTCTATCCCTCTTCTATCCGCCTCCCACTCTCTCCCTATTTATTTCAAAACCCCCTTCCCCTCCCCCTTTCTGATGAAGGGTCTAGGCCCGAAACGTCAGCCTCTCTGCTCCTATGATGCTGCTTCGCCTGCTGTGTTCATCCAGCCCTGCACCTTGTTGTCCAGGATAAGATCAGCCTTGGTCTTATTGATTGGCAACGCGGGGTCGAGTAGCTGAATGGCCTTCACTTGCCCCTGTTTATTACCTTTGTTCGCAGCATTTCTCTTCCATCGACTAGACTGAGAAGCTCATGTCAACTGTAGATCTTCCAATTGCAGCCAAGATCTGCAGTCTGACAACAGCAACGCGGACAAATGATTCTCTAATGATGTTTAGCAAGATGATTGCTCAACTGATGTTGCAATTGCTGCCGTCGTGCTTGCTGTTGCATAGCGTCACAATCTTTATGTCATGGATAACCTAGGACTGCACTAGAGATGCAAAAATTTGTGTAGATACTGCGGGAGTGCTCGTTTCCTCTGCTTAACGAGTTTGGGTGATTTGGCATTGGGTGATTTGGCATCAGCACTCAGATAGATTACTAAACTATTCCACCCTGAGTTCAATATCCAGGTCTTGCATATGGTGTCTAGAACTTTCTGAATTACAGTGTCCTTTCTATATTCTAACTCAAGATTGTTTGCACCCATCTCTCCAATGGTTTATTGCATTTGGTAATGTATCCTATATATCAATACTGAAAATGTGGATGCTGGAGATTGTTGACAGCTTCGCATATCTAGACTCTACAATCACTAGCAATCTGTAACTTAATGCTGAAGTCAACATGTGCATCCAAAAGCTCTAACTGTTATGCCCAAGATGGTTAGTGTGTGGAACAATAACCTTACTGACAATACCAAGCTGCAAACCTACGTAGTCTGTATTCACAGGAGCACTATTCTCCAATTATAAAACCTAGATAACATAGGCTATGTAAGAAAAAATGTTGAACAGTATAATCTTCGCTATTTCACGTTTATCCTCAGCATTTCTTGGCAGGACAAGGTCACCAACTGAAGTCCTGAAATGTGCTAACTTGATCGTTATACATTTATTGCTGAGCTAAGAATTTTGATGCTGGTTTGACCATGTTAGTCAAGTGGCTAACAACCGTACACCCAAAGACTTCTGTGAATTGGCCACTGGGTGCCAATCTTAGCTACAGATTCACTTGCAATGAGATGTGAAGATGGCTGATGCTAACGCTGACAACTGGAAATAGTCACTGACACCCAGGACCATGGAGGCTGACAGTTTGGAAGAGGGTTGTTCTGCTCGCCTCTTCCAGAAAGCTAAAATGGCCAAGTAAAGGGTCCAGGGAAAACAGAGGCCAGCAAATCCAGCATCGTCTTCCTCTGCAGCAAATGTGGCAGAGACTGCCAAACAAGGTGAAATTTAACAAAGTTGATCACCGTGTTGCTAACCTACCATCTTAATAGATGAAAAACCTGTGTAGAACAATTGCCAATTTTTTTTATCTTGTAAATCATACATAATTCTCAGTTTATTCTTTCTGCTGCCCCTGCACAATGAGGCGGGGGGGTGGGGGGCGGGGGGCGGAGGTTGGTGTGGGCTCGTTGGGCCGAATGGCCTGCTTCTGCGCTGTAACGATACTATGATTCTGTACAACCTCAACATGATGTCCCAACCCAATGGTCTGAGCAATGGAGGTAAGTGTGCTAAACATCTTCTTAACCACCCTGTCTACTTGTGATGCAACTTTCAAAGAACTAGGTACCTGAACCCCTAGGTCTCTCTGTTTCACATTATCCATTACTACCATTAACTGTATCAGTCATTTGTTCATTTTATCAAAATGCAATACCTCGCATTTATCCAAATTAAACTCAATCTGCCACTCCTAGCCTATTGACCTAATTGATCAAGAAGCCTTTGTAATCCTAGATAACCTTCTTCACTGTCCATGATACTACCAGTTTTAGTGTCATCAACAAATGTAATAGCCATGCCTCCTAAATTCTCATCCAAATTGTTGGCACTGTTCTCAACTTTTTCTGCCCCTGTACAACCAACAACGCTTTTGCCCCTGATTCCACCAGCTTACTTTGAGACTTTGTAGTGATTTGGACAACTGAGTGGCTTACCAGGCTATTTCAGAGGGCAACTGAGAGTCAACCACATTGCTGTGGGTCTGAAATCACATGTAGGCCAGACTAGATGAGGGTGGCAGGTTTCCTCCCCTGAAGGACATTAGTTAACCAGATGGGTTTTTCCAGTGATCGACGATGGATTCATGGTCATCAGTAGACTTTCTTAATTCCAGACTTTTTTTAAAAATTCAAATTCCACCAAATGCCATGGTGGGATTCGAACCAGGTCCCCAGAACAACAGCTGGATTTCTGGATTAATAGTCGAGCGATAATACCACTATGCCATCGCCTACCCTATGTATACCCACCTCAAATGTCATTTTTATTTTCACTTAGAAAGGGTCCAATGTTGATGTCTAATGACTTTGGATTGAACTGGATATAAGAACAGAAATAGGCCATTCAGCTCATTGAGTCTGCTCCACCATTCATTGCCATCATAGCTGATCCAATAATTCTCAACTCCGTCTCACTGCCATTTTCCCAACATAAGACCATGAGATATAGGAGCATAACCCTTAATTCCCTGACTGATTAAAAATGTTCCTATCTCAACCTTGAATGCATATAATGACCCAAACTCTACATTCCTTTGCAGTAAAGAATTCCACAGATTCGCTATCCTCTGCGGGAAGAAATTCCTCATCTCTCTTAAAATGGTGCCCTGCATTCTGAGATTATTCCTGTGATCACTCTCCCAAAGGTGGAAAACAACCTTTCTGCATCTACCCTGTTAATTCCCTTAAGAACCTTATTTGTTTCAACAAGTCACCTCTCCAGGAGTACAGGCCTAACCTACTCGGCCTCTTCTCGTAAAACAGTCCTTCCGTATCTGGTACTTTCTCGGTGAAGGATAGGTAAAGGGGAAGCGTATTTGGATTTTCAGAATGTACATGATAAAGTACCACACATTAGGCTACTTGATAAGATTGCAACCTATGGTGTTGGTTTTGCTAACTAATGTTAACCTTCTCTGGACAGCCCCCAACACCAGTACATCTTTCCTTCGATAATGGGCCTAGAACTGTTCTCATATTCCAGCTGTGATCTGACTAGTGCCTTGTAGTTTTAGCTAAACCTCCCAGCTTTTGCAGTCCATTACCTTTGAACTGAAAGCCAACATTCAATTTGCTTTGTAGACAAACAGGAGGCTGGAAGAACACAGCAGGCCAGTCCTGAAGGAGGGTAATACCTGAAACGTTGATTGCATCTTTCCTCCAGATGCTGCTTGGCCTGCTGTGTTCTTCCGGCCTCCTGTTTGGTCTGTCTTGGATTCCAGCATCTGCAGTTTTTTTGTCTCTAATCAATTTGCTTTCGTGATTACCTGCTGAAATTCAATGTTAACGTTTTGTGATTCATGGACGAGAACTGCCAACCCCTCTGTTCTTTAACTGTTATGCAGTCTTTCTCATTTAAGTAATATTCAGCTGCTGTATTCTTCCTGCCAAGTGAGTAACTTCACATTACCCCACATAGTATTTCATCTATCAGGTTTTTGCCCGTTCGCTTAAACTACCTCTGCAGACTCTTTGCATTATCCTCATCACTTACCTTCCTACCTATTTGTGCCATCTACAAATTTGGCAATCATACAGTCACGTTCCTCATCTGAGTTAATGATGTATGTCGTAAATAATTGTAGACCCAGCACTAATCCCTGTAGCACACCACTAGTTGGAGCTTGACATACTGAAAATGCTTACCAACTCTGTTTTGTATTAGTGAGCCACATTGAATTTACATCTACAATTTTCTAGAAGGCTTCAACAATGCACCAGAGCTTCAATGGTGAGAATATTGATTTCTGCAGCATTCTTGTTTTCACAGCCTGTATTGTATGTAGATTGATTAACTTAGAATGTTCTATTTGTGACATCTTTAATCCCTGACACCACATTAAAGTTTGCAAAGTTTCTTTTAATAATATGTAACTTGGACTAGTACATGGAATATCTTTAAACGATAGTCTTACAGACAATTAAAACTATACGGGTGGTACGGTGGCTCAGTGGTTGGCATTGCTGTCTCACAGTGCCAGGGACCAGGTTCAATCCCAGCCTCTCCACACAGACATTCTGCCCATGTGTACATGGGTTTCGTCCTGGTGCTTCAGTTTCCTCCCACAGGCAGAGATGTGCAGGTTAGGTGGATCGGCCAACCTAAATTGTCCAGGGATATGCAGGTTAGGTGGGTTAGCTATGGGAAATTGCAGGGTTACAGGGATACGGTAGAGGGCCTGGATCTGGGTGGAATACTCTTCAAAGGCTCAGTGTGAATGCTGTGGGCTGAATGGCCTGCTTCCATTCTGTAAGGATTGTGTCATTCTGTACAGTTCTCTGCTTCTTTCCCCCGGCTAGAGCTTTAACCTTCTCTCGGTTCCTTCCCAATCCAGCATCGATCTCCAACTTGATCAGAGATGCTTGAGATCTTTTGTTGCCTGATTCTTCCATTATTGATAAGTGATTGTGCGTGACAAATCTTATATTGAACAAGAACCCTAAAAGAGATGCTTTTCCTACAAGGCAACCAGCACTAACTTGTTTGCACCCTGGCTTCAATCTTTCTCTGCTTAGTACAAAACATCCTTGGCTACTTTCTTTCCCCCATGAAGTGCACTGTAGTTTCAGCAAAAATACTACACCACAGTGCCAGTTAAAATGGATAATCAGACAGCCAAACCCTGGAGCATTAGAGGAATAAACAACTTTTGATCACTTCAGTATTTCTAGCTGTCAGAAAAACCTACTAGCTGTAGGAATAAAGAAACCAGAAATGGCATTCATATTTGATTAATCCTGATTCAAATTATGCATATATTTTTTTATTCATTCATGGGATGTGGATGTCACAGGCTAGGCCAGCATTTATTGCCCATTCCTAATTGCCCAGATGCCAGTTATGAATCAACTACATTACTGTGGGCATGGAATCACACGTAGGACAGACTAGGTAAGGATGGCAGTTTCCTTCCCTACTGGACTTTAGCGAACCAGATTCCTGGCAATCAACAATGGTTTCATGGTCATCATTAGTCTCTTAGTTGCAGATTTTTTTATTTAACATCTACTAAGGCAGGATTTGATCCCAGAACATTACCTGGGTCTCTGGATCAATAGTCTGTCAATAATAACACACACCATCACTTCCCCTATATGTGTATGCAATTAGTGTATCTTATAGACTCATCCTCCAATATCAATCACCATCATCCTACTTGAGCTGGACTGATTCCTGTACCTAAGTGTTAACTTCAAGATTTATGTCCTCACTTTCAAATAATTTAGTAGATTCATTCCATTCTAGTTTACTATTTTTCTCCAGTCACAACAACATGTTTTTTTTTATTCTGAGATGTACTTTAATATGATGAGTTTTTTATTTAGAATAGAACAGATGAATTGTCATGATGACATTGCTTCAATTGTGACTCTTGTTTTAGTGGTTTGAGTCATGACTAATTCTAAATTTTAATGATAGGAGGCTTGTATAATGTTGTCTGTCTGGTAACGATGATTATCCCTGTGACAGATAAAACTGAAGTAGGAGAGTATTTTTGGTAAATGTTGCTGCTTTCCATCTTTATTATAGGCAGCTATCTAATATTACTCTGAAGGGGAAGGGCTGAACTTGCAGAAACTATTGCAGCTATCGAGTTTGTACATCATAATATACCAAGAACTCTGCAAGATATCAATTAAAATGTTGTAAGGTTATTTTAAGCTCTGCACTTCAGACAAGTTCACCACCGATTTATCTTTTGGTCTTTCATCTACTTCACTTGAAGCTTAAATTACTGTTCTTCATAACTTTCCCATGGTAAAATGTGGACTGAAATAATGTGCTTCAAGTTACTGTGGAAGGCAGACTCTGTATTGTGCTCAGTGACTCTTGTTTTCGGTATTGGAATGTGTGTGCATTGTCAGATTCAGATTGGTTTGTTTGTGATGGTCATCTCTGCAGAGCCACATTATATCCCAAAGGATATCTGTTCAGCTAACTCTGCAACTACAGTCTCATTCCAGCCATGCACATCACCACCTGCTTTAGTCACTTGATTCAGAATGTGTTAAGTGCATCCCAAGTTAACTTGCTGATTTGGAACCTGAAATTTTAACTTTGTTTCTCTTCAGATACTGTCAGAACTATTGTGTTTCCAACAGTTTCTGGTCTTATTTCTGATATGCAAATTTGTATTTGTTTCTGTCTTAAAAACTTTGCATGAATCTAAATGTATATTTTCTCACCTGTGATCATGATAATTTGTGCCCAGTGATACATTCTACTCTCTACAAATTTCTGTTCTTCCAAATTTCACATTTAGGTACAGAATGTTCCTAAAGCCATATCAGCAGCTCATACCTTCCTTCAGAAGCACCCCGATGATGTGATGATGCAGCAGAACATGGATTACTACAAGTCTTTGCCAGACTCTGATGACTTCTTGAATGACCTGGAGATGAAAAATTATGAGGCAAGTGGATTGATTCAGTGGCAGTAATTTTAAAGTAGACCGGATTGGGTTATATTTGGTTCTTGCTGTCGTAGATTTCATAGGGAAAGTAATAATTGAATAGGGGTGTAATTTGAGCTAGCAGACATGTTAAGCTGTTGCCACAGTGACTGTAAATAGGCTAAAGATTCATTGGTTCTTGTTTTTACATTTGTAACAAAACCAGAAATGTTAATGTTCTTAAGTTATTTAGATTCCAGTAAAAATAGCTGAGAGAGATTGGTGTACAGATACGTAAAGTAAGTTGGTTTAGTAAGTAGATAAGGCAATAAAAAAAATTTAGAATAGAGAGGTTTCACCCGTAGTCCATTGGTAAAAATGTGCTCCTACAGAAACCCACACACTGACAGAGAAGGACGTTGGCGTTTGACCCCACTACAAACCCTATACAGATACTTACAATGAAACTTGGAATAGGGACCTGTTGTTCCAGGAAGTGCGCAGGTTATGTGGATTAGCCATGGGAAATGCAGGGTGATATGGATATGGTAGGGAAGTGGGTCTGGGTGGGAAGCTCTTTGGAAGGTCAGTGTAGACTCGATGGGCCGAATGGGTTGCTTCTACACTATAGGGATTCTGTAAATGGGACTTGAACTCAAAATACTAGCAGCAACATTTTGGAAGAGCTTACAATAATGCAGGATGGAAGATTATAGTCCAGCTAGGACATTTTTGAAAAAGCCAAGTCTTGAGCCAACAAAGAAATGATTTAGGTTCTAGATTGAATTCCCCTAAGGCAGGGAGGTGACGAGCAATTTATGGAAGTAGAAATAGATGATCTTGACAGTAATGAGGATATGAGGTCAGATTAATTTAGTTTAGTCTCAAACAGTAACCAGTACTGGACGGGTAGAAGAAATTAGTAACTGTGAGTGGGACATGAGGAGCAGGAGGAGAGCAAGAAGCCCTTTGTGCCTACTCCTCCATTCAGGACAATGTTGTGATTCAAATTCAATTGCTTGTAGTATTTGTCATATCCGTTTTCCCCTTAGTGTCTAAAAATCTAACAATCTGACCTTACAACTGAGCATCAGCAGCACTTGGATAGGAAATGAGCTTTCAATTGGGGCTGGAGAAAATGGTGTGTTCAGTTAATTGGGAATTACCAGAAGGATTCTCAATTATTGTTTTTAATCACCACAATCCAACTCGTTGACGTCTATGCTCCTGCCTGAGCAAGCATGCTGCTAAAGAAAAAATTTTCATTCTTGTCCTCTACAATTGACTTACTTTTAATAGTGTACTTAATTTAATATTTAGAAGTTCAAAGGTTAAATGATATTTGGATCCTCCCTTTCTTATGTCTCTTTAAAGTTTGGTTTAGAGTGATTTAGTGTTCCTTTGTTACCTCCCTCAAAGTGACAGTCAGGATCTCATGCTAGGAGGCATAGTGAATTTTGCTGGCAGTCGTAGTTTGCTGAGTTTTGCATCCTTGCATTCTACTATAAGCCATAACATGCTAGGTTTTTATCCCAGCATTTTGAGTTGGGATTGTTGAGTAGATCTGCAGCATAAAATACAGGACACGACACCATTCCAACATCCCTCAGTTGCTTGTAACCTGAATGTTATTGGATTTTAGAATCTGTTCATCCAAGCGGTGAAAGCTTACAATGGTGAGAATTACCTGCCATCTATCACAAACATGGAACTGGCCATCCCAGAATACCTCAAGGCATATGATGAATGTATTGCTGCCTGTGAGGGTCCAAGAGAGGTGAAGGAATTTAAAGATTTCTACCCCTCAATAGCAGGTCAGTGCAAGTATTCCAGATGCGAACTATGCTTTTTGGTTGAAATTGTATTAAAAAATATTGCTGCTTCCCTTTGTTTCCCCATCCTTTTCCCTCCCAGTTTACTTTCATCATCAATGTTCTCTCTAGAAACGTCACTTCCCTTCAGTCTCTCTTTTCTTTCTCTCTTTTCTTTCTTTTCTTTCTTTTTCTTTTCTTTTCTTTCTTTTCTTTCTTTTTCTTTTCTTTCCTTTCTTTTCTTTCTTTTCTTTCCTTTCTTTCCTTTCTTTCCTTTCTTTCCTTTCTTTCCTTTCTTT